AGTAACTTTTTTTTTTTTTTTTTTTGAAAAAGCAACAAAAATAATTTTGACGAAACGTTTTTAATAAAAAACAAAGAAAAATAATATTCAAGACAAATAATACATGGAATTTTTATAAAAATATTTAAACAAAGAGTATTCAAAAAATTATCCATCCCCATATCCATTTATTGTCCCATTTTAGTTGATTAAAAAAAAATTGTTTAATTAAACACGATTTAAGTAATTGTTTTGTGCGAAAAGCGCATTACGTAAGTCGTGCATAATTTACCTTTTTGTTTGTGTAAAATCACATTTTTCGTAGAAACTCTCAATCGCGTCTTTTTATATTCGAGAAACTCTTAGCTTCCAAATTCATCAGCTGATCGGTACGAGCCATAAAATCGTATAGGAGATGATAGCGTAACAAAAACGTATAACTCTGATGAATGAGGACACAATTATCTTTTGAGAGTAAAGTATAGTTGTTTGTGTGCGCGCAATAGCTGCAATCGCTCGCATCGTGAATCTCGGTAATTTTTTTTTTTTTTTTCCTTTTTTTTATATCAGTATGCGCGTAAGTGTGTATTCATTATCGACCATAGTTTTATCATACTGACCCTTGCTTACTAGCATTTTTGCGCGAAAAGCGCGATTGCGCCGATCTTAGCTTATACCCGAGCGTATTATGCGCTGTGACATTAATGTTTATAATACGTTCTATAATTACCATAGAAGACTTATGTTTTTCTTTGCTCAACTGGACGTTTGCAGTTTTTTTTTTTTTTTTTTTTTTTTTTTTTCCCGCACGCGATGAGAGAAGATATCGCTAAGCGTTGACGCAATGTGAGCGAGTTCTCGTGTTTTTTAGACATGGAATAGAGATTTTTTGCTTTCTAGCTTTTTTCAAGCGCTTTTTTAAACTTTAAACGAAATTTTTCCTACGGTTTGACTTGCACAGCGTCACAAAAATTTTTTCCTGCTATTTCTCGTAAAATAGTCACAATTTCAAATAAATAAAACAATGGGTAAGCTCATTAGTACTTAAATAAATCGTTCGTTAAGAAGAAAAAAAATTCTTTTTTGATTTTCTCCACAGCCAAACGATGCGTGGGTAATTTTACTATCCCAGAGCGTATTGGAAAAGAAAAAAAAAAGCTGGAACAAAGACTCCCACTGCGCGCATAGCACCAGAAAAAATTCCCTTGCATCAAAAAAATAAAAAAATAAAAAAATGGCACAACCAACAAATACGAATGAAAAATGGTAATGGAAAAAAAAATGAAGGGTAAGACTCACTTTTTTAATTATCCGTGATCCAAGAAGATCGGCAAGAGTAAACAAACAATGAAAACGACTGGATTAAAATCTCACGACTTCTGGGCTCTCCCGGACTCGTGAGCACACTGCCAACAGCATCTGTGATGTATCTGGGCTTTTATATACGGCCGCCCCTGCTCTCTCGGTCTTTCACATTCCACTGGCGAGTGCGAGTGTGTATATATATATATATGGGCATTTATGCGAGAAAAAGAAATAAGACGATATGCCAACGACGAACTAAAGATCAAGTTTTTGTATAAGTACTTGCGTATACGTGCAGGGTATGCATGATGACGCTCCATCGCCGCTGAAATGTTCAACTATTATTGTGTGTGGTTTTTTTTACCATTACTGTTGCTGAAAACTTAATTTTTTTGCTAACGGGCAATTGATGAAGCTTCGAAATTCGTCGATGTACTTACCTTGTACTGTAATATAACAGAAAATAATTTTAAAATGTGTTTATTAGCTTAAAAATTTCCATTAATTTGAAAAAATTATTTAAATCACTACTGAACATATGATTTTTATTTCACAAACAGAAAGTCTTGAAATATGTGAATAAACTTAGCCGATGGTTTTCAATATACGTATAAAAACGTTTTAAAAAAATGTTTTNTAAAAATTTCCATTAATTTGAAAAAATTATTTAAATCACTACTGAACATATGATTTTTATTTCACAAACAGAAAGTCTTGAAATATGTGAATAAACTTAGCCGATGGTTTTCAATATACGTATAAAAACGTTTTAAAAAAATGTTTTTCACATCCTGAATTTTTTTTTTTTTTTAAGACAGTGCTATTTAAACTATGATGGCCTAAATTATTTTTGTGCTTAAAAAGAACATTTAACACAATAACTAGTTTACCTTGTATATTTTACATAAGTATATTTTACACTTACCCATAAGACTGTAAGAAAAACTTTTCTCTATTATTGTAGAGCTGTTATCTTGTACCTCCTTCACTAGAAAGAGAATCTTACCTGCATTACAGCTATCTAGTACCTTTGGGCATATTTTATTTTATTGCCCCCAAATTTCCCTTTTCCATGAGAAACCGGATGCGCCAAATGTCCAAGCTTACATGGATGACCCTATAAAAAATTTTGAGAGCTTAACAAAACTGGCACAAGCAGTCGATGTTCTGCCCATACATCATACGAGATACTTAGTAGGATAACAATAAAAAATCAATGTAGATTATTTCGGAATGAAATATTTTACGAAATCTAAGTGATGAGTATTTTTTTAAATTTCCGTAGAATCAATGAAAAACTTTAAATGCTGTAGAGGAAAAGTGTGTTTTAACACTTCATTGACATGTTTTCCCGTATTACTGGAGGAACGTGAAAGATAAAAATTTTCACCTCAAGGACGTGCCTAAAACCAGTTTTTTTTTTTTTTATTTTGGGAACTCATATGATGGAAGTATTTTTGTGGAATCACTGTTATATGCGATTATTTATGAGCGACACAAAAAAAAACACTTTACAAAAAACCGTAAGCTCTAAGTACAACTGTCCAAATAAAAGAGAGAAATACTTGGCTTAAAAGTTTAAATTTAGGAAGGAGCACTTGGAAAAATAAAAGAGACCTGCTGCAATGCGTGAGTATACATGCATCTTCGTGTCATGCGTGTGTGTATTATTACCCATCACGCACCTAATGCCTCCGCTAGGCTGCATTTACGTCGAACAAACTCGTTACGCCCCGCCGTCCCCTCAATTAGTCGGGCGAACGTCAAAATACAGCGAGATCAGACCAGACCTTGCTCTCGAGCTGCAGAGCCCGTTCCGTCTACTTAAAAAAAAAAAAAATCACCGGTNATGAGTCAGGATATTCCTAAGCTTATTTTGTTTTGTCATCTTTATTTTACTAGCAATAGTAATTATGTATCAATACATCCTTTATCATCAATATAATACAGCGAGTAAAGTAATAATGTATATTAAGGCTCTAATATTGTATAGTGTACACTTGAAGTTGGATTTTTTTGTTATTTTAACTGTCATTCTTTGTTGTGCAGACACAACAGTCACATTAGTTGGTCAACATTTTTAGTAGTCATTATCGACACAAATAGAGCGACGGCAAACTGAATCAATATTTTATAAAACATACGCATAACAATGAAACTTATAACAAAGTATTTTAACATTTTTTATTGTAGCACTGAACTCATTTATTATTGGCATTGAGTATATTCGTGACTACCGTATTATGTATAACTAATCGATATCTCTGATAACGGGTTGCAACTGTATTCAACTACATATTTATATTGTAAGTGTACTACTACTTGATGCAGATAAAAGAATAACAAATGTGTAATCGGTTATACCTACTGAATGGCAGTTATGTTTTGTACCATAATAGTTTGGAGCATTCCTTTTTAATTAATCAAACATTTATCTGCATTTTAAAGTTTTTGTACTTCTTTAATTTTTTAAAGAATCAAAGTTCTTTCATTATAATGAAAATAAGCAATCGTGTGTACATAGACTAGTGAATAAAAAAATATAGTTATTTCTTGTTGAGTTATAGTTGTTGATTAAATTTCAGATTTGTAATCTAATAATGTAAAGGAATAGATGAAAAGTTGTGTGAGGGGAAAAGATAATAAAAACCAAAGGACATAATTACAAAATGTGCAAATGTTTTTTTGAAACATATGTTAAAGTACACATTACTCGCAAATTCAGCATAAGTCAACGAAATTATGTTTCTCAGCAAAATATGTAAATGTATTTTTTAGTTGAATATAAAAGTTTTCACTCCTACCGACTCGTGTCAAGCTAAATATTTCTTCACATATACTTATTTGCAGCTGCGTTTCATCATCATATTTACTAAAAAGTTCCTTCACAGACCAAACACTAGGTTGCTGTTTTAAAAAAGAAGGCAAAAATAAATAGATTTATAATTTAACACTAAATGATTAAGTGTTGTACGTTGCAGTCTAGATTGGCCAAGTCACGTAGAGCGCAGCCAATGCAATGCAGTTTAACTGCAACTGCAGTCAGCAGAAATAAATACAAATACAAGATAAGTAGAATATTTATACTTTTGGAGGTCGATTTTTGGGTAAAAGATATATTGTAAACTTGCCGCAAGTAGCACAAAAAATGTCAAATATTTATTGTCTGTTTATAAGATTAGTTGCGGCTGGTTTATAATTAATTAAATGGCTCTACTGTAAGTAGTAATAATTATTTGGATCAGCGCCATCTAGCGGTCTTCATTTTTTAGCGAAAAGTGGCCACTAAAATTCTGAATCAGAGCAATCAGGATTAGAGCCATTTAATTAATTATAAACCAGCCGCAACTCATGATGAAGCTATAAAATAAAAAAATAACGATACATGTGTTTTTGGCGGCAAGTTAACAATCTATTTTCTACCAAAAAATCGACCTCCTATGTGTTTATACTTTTGAAGATAAATTTTCAAGCATAAGATGGATTGATAACTTGCCGCAAAAAACACATGTTTCGTTATTTTTTTATTTTATAGCTTCGTCATGAGTTGCGGCTGGTTTAAAATTGACTAAATGGCTC